GTTCTTAAACCTTCGATATGCGGTTTCCATCGTTGGCAAAGGAAATGGGTTGGACCATTCGCTGTCGAGAATCGTCACGCGTGAGGAGGTACATTCCGGGGCATGATCGCAGCCCTACCAAGTAGTCAAAGAAGCCTCTGAATCGATTCTCATTCTGACAGCTGAAGCCCTAAACTTCAAGCGTTTTTGTTAGTCTACCCCGCACTTCTTCAGGTATGACAGCTGCTAGTATAGTCTAGGAAAGTGGGTTTGAGTCTGATGGCTAGGTAGTTGTTGACCGAGTGCGTGTGTGCCTTCTAAATGGACCGCCTGGTAGATGCGCTGGATCGACAAGGCAGACCAGCTCCCAGTACGTCAAGCATTATTTGAGTGGCGCTCCGATACCTAACGGCGTGGATTATAGCATGCCCAAATGCATGCCGCTAAGAGACACCTCCTGGGGTAATGCAACACACCAATTAGGCACCACTTGGATTTGCTCTGCAATAATGTGAAAGCAGCTGCCAGCGCTGTCTAAATCTATCTATCATGCATCAGTAGGCGCGGTTACCACAACTAGCCGTGACTTCGCCAGTGACTACGGCTGCCAGAAACGGCAACTCAGGGTTCTGCACGCAATACATTCCTTATTCTGGTGTCTTCTGCCTTTTACCCACAACTTGGAAGTTGACATAATGAATGTAGTGCTCCGGGTACAAGACGCTACAGCCACTACGGACTATAAATACTGCGGTCCCTAGGCCATAGGTGTGCTCAGAGGACTACAATTATCACACCCACTTCCGTAAATGACGAGAAGGGGTAAGACCAGATTCCACTTACTAACGTCTGCTCACTTTTCGCCTCCGATTGTGTAAAGGACCACTGAATTATTCTACTGTGTTGATGCATTTATCAGTCACTGTGTCACCAATAGGCAACTCAAAGGCCTTTGCCTATCTTTCCCTTAATAAAACTGAACTGAACAGTAGTTGTTTGCTGTATGCAGAAACTCTGAAGCCCCGACGCGCGGCAGGCTTGGGATCACGCGCGCGTCTGCCTGTTAGCATGCTGTAGGCGTGAATGCATAAACTTCATGCGAGATTGATTCATTGGCCACTTGGTCAACTATCTGGCCACATCAGTCTATGGCACCTGTGATCGGCTGTCCCAGAAGCCAGTCGATACTTGCGATCATGTGGCAGCTTGCAGGCGTGTCGCCGGTGGTGTACGG